TACCAGGGGCTACTCAGATTGCAGACTTTGAATGACCCCACCGTTTTTTCAAACAAAGGAACATCTGGCTACAGGGCCGTGTATTTCAGCTGGATTTTTCAAGCCAAAGCTGAGCACGCCCGCTCTCTTCTCTGGCAGAAATCCTCCCTGCCTCTGCCGGGGCTGGCGCGCTGGGCAGCCCGGCTCTGGGGTGCGTTCTGCCCAGGGAACCCGGGACCTGGAAGTGCTGAAGGTAACGGTGACCTTGAACTGGATGAAACGTGTCACTGAGGTCCCTGCTGGGATGTGCTCTGCGCTGAACACAGCGTGTTCAGAGTGCACTGCTCTCCCCCATGTTGCCGCTTCTCCTCAGGATTTTTCTCAGAAAAACTCAGGGCAATTATTCTTTCACTATGCTCCTTGGAGACTGCTTTTATTTGGACACTACAACTCCCTTTTCATCCTGAAAACTGTCAGCGAGGAGGATTAACAGAAAGGCTGAACAGGCTTTTAGAAAGTTGATGATGCCGACGACCCTTTTGCTGATCTGGACAATGCAGTCAGATGCGACAGCCAGCACTGGCAAGGAGTGAGGTAGCTGCTTGGTGCTTCATCTGTCAATAAAATAAATGATCATGTGCTGACGGAAGCAACAACCTAACACCGTAAATATTTCATCTGTCCTGCTGATAAGAAATATTTGTCGCCAGTTAAAAATCTGGGTGCCTGGCTAGCTGTTCTTCAGAGATGAGGATCAGATTATTTCATTTTTTTGGCCCTGACCAAAATGTTCTGTCTTTTCCTATGCTTGACCAAGCAGTTTTGGTTCCAAATGGGACAGCTGCCTGCTAGAGCAACACACATTATATTAGTCACTCGGTGGCAGCCACTCTCGCATTGATTTCTTGTACTACTGTAACTGGCCCGAGGTTGCTGCTGTTCTGCAGGTGTGACCTGAGTCACCACGCGGTTCTCTAGCTGCCCTACGGCTCTGCTCTCCGCGGCTGTGCAGACGGGTAGGTTGTGTGAGGAAGGGCCCGTCTCGCCGCGCGCTGAGCAGCAGAGCCCCACGGGGGAGCCGGGACCACGGCGCTGCGCCCGGCGGGGGTGGCCGGCCCGTTCCCGCTCACCCTGCGCGCGGGCTGGCGCAGGGACTCGCGCTCCACGCGGCCCTGCAGGCCGAGGGCTCCAGCCTGGAGGGACGGCAGGCACTGGGGATGCAGGGGAAGCGCGTGTGAGGACTGCACTAGGCTTCTGCTGGCACGTCCGGAGGAAGGACCAGGTGTGGAGAAGGGAGGGACCAAGGTAGTGTGGGGAGGACAAGCACGGGGAAATACCCCCTGTAGGGTCTATCTTCTCCTCTGTTACCACAGTTCCTTCTTTTCTATTTCCTGGGTCTTACTGTGCTCTAACTCTAAAGAGCTTTCAAACCTGGTAGTCACCCACAACTGACAAAGAATTTCAATGTAAGTAAAAAAGCATTCTAAGTTTTTATAAGGTAACTCCCATTTTGAACACCTTGCACAAAGGAATGGAGAGGCTGTTTCTCTTAGCAGGTTGTCACACCAAGCTGCCCTGCCCTCACCCCGCACAGCGAGCGGCTCCCGAAGCACCTGGGTTCGTCCCTGTCACCAAGCACTCACGGTCCAGCTGGAAGGGAGGAACGTGCCTCCCCCTCGGATAATCACCCATTTCTTGGCAAGATTCGTCATCTTTTCTAAACTAATCAGCATTATTCGCAAAGTATGCAAAGGTACATAGAAAGACGTTTTTTTCAACAAAGGTGACTAGTGGGGAGAGATGAGGACAAAGTGACATTTCTTATATACCTAGGGATCTCCAGACAGGCTAAATGAAAGGATGGCTTTAACTCATTTAATGTTTGGCCCAAACTGATCTTTCATCCTACATACATCCAAGAAATGCCTTTTTTTTTTTTCTCTCCAACATTTACGGGAGTTTCAGACTCTGCCCTTTTCCCCCAGCAAAGCAAATGTCAGCACTGTGAAGCTCCACAAGCTCATTCTGAATGTCAGAAACATTGAGATCTGTAGCTTAGAAGCCTTGAACTTTTAGACCATAAAAGCCTTAACACCTGGCAAATGCACAGTGTGTTATAACTCGGAAAATGTCAGAAAAGGACAGATTAGGATTCCTTGTAAAGGGAGTAGTGAAAAAGTCTGTCCAAAAGCGACACGTAAAACCCCTAGGCACAGAAAGGCAGCCCCAGGGCAGTGCCAACTGCCTCACTGCGAGACGCTGCTGTCTGCGTAGCAGAAACCAAGGGTCCAGCAACCCCAAACTGCAGCTGCCGGAGACGGGAGAAGGGCATCTTGTGTAAAACCAAAGAGCGCCAGACACTACTGCAAGGAGAGCCACAGTTAATGATGAACCTTGGGACATACTGACCCTTTTAACTAAACTACATACGACCCTCAAGAAAATCATAATGGTTGGTAAACTGCTGTGTCTGTAACTAGTAGATTAAAAACAGGTTCAGTCACCATCTACTTTTGCCCACGGACACAGCAGTTTACCAATCCATACAATAAGTGAATAAACATTTGCTTTTCAATGAAAGGAATGATCAAGACAATATGAAATATCAAACTGAAATTCCTATTTTGACTAATTTTATAAACTAGTGGATATCAAAGAGTCTTAGTCATTTTACCCATGAATGTGCTGAAGATTCGTAACAAATTGATTTAACTTCTAAGTTAGCACTGCCTGGAGCAGGAGACTGAGCTGGGGGACCTCCAGAAGACCCTGCCAAATCCTCCTAAATCCTCCTGTCCTATGGGCGTCACACAGGCTCCAGCCCCACTCCCACTGAACACGATGCTAAATTCCCACTGAATCCCACAGTACCCACCTAGGTAATACTCAGCCAGGCAGATTGGCTTTGGCTTCTGGCTTTATCATGCCCCAGATTCCTGCACCTGGCATTGCAGTAGGTAGGAAGGGCTGATATTCTAGATAGCAACATATATCCAAATTCAAATAAAGGGGTTAACAACCTGCAATAAGTTCACCTGGAAGCGTGTTTCTCAGGTTTATAGAGCCTGCTGCTTATTTCAATGGAGATATTTTAACTCCGTTGACAGGCACCAGGTATTTTTGTTTGCAAGACCACAGGAGGACAGTGGAAGAAAACCTGCTTCCGCGGCAGAACCACTGCTGCAGGAAACACGGCATCCCCAAACGTTAACCACCTTCCTGACCATGTGAGTGCTCCATTTTGGGGGGTGCTTTGTTCACATCCCTCAAAAGAAACAGACACTCTTCTCTCAGTCTCAGGATCCTAGAGAAAGCCTGAAGAGATGGTTTTCCCATGGCCACCGATGAGCTCTTCAAATATAGCAGAAGAAAAGTAATTTTGCTACTTACCACACAAGCTTCTGAAATTTAATCAAATAAAATGAAGGTTCAAAGTGAACAGTAATACAATAATAACAAAACTATAGTCATGTCTTCTGTTTACATCCTCTTGCATATGTTTTGCAATTGCTCATGCATAATAAACTGAAAGCCAATACTGTCTCCTTTTGGATTCTACCAAGGGAAACCTTCGAGGGTGAGTGGGCAGAGCTGACATTTAAGTTGTCTCAGAGTCAATTTACAGCAAGAATACAAAACTGTGACTGTGTCACATATAAAATATGAAAACTATGTATTTATATGCACATAGAGTTGCCCTGATTTATCTTAAAAATGGGTACATAGCTATGCTGCTATAAGATCCTTTTATACACTATTGATGTTGACAAATTGTATGGTGGGGCATAAACAATGTAGCACATGAAATATGCATACAGAGCAGGAGCAGCCAACGGCACAAAGTACTTCTACCCATTTTTGCTCCTTAAACCATCCTGAGATGCCTTCTTAGAGGCCAGGATGTGAAGAGACCAGCGTGTAACTGGAGAAAGAGGCGCTCGTTCTGGTTCCACTAGAGCTGTCCCATTACAGGCACCTCGCGCCCGCCCATTCAGAACTGGGCGTTTTTAGGAGGTGGGAAACCTTCACACTCATTGTCTGTCCAACTGACAGTCCCTGTGTTCCATTCATAAGGGAACAATTAACAGTATTCTTCCTTCCTTCCTTTCCTTCCCTTCCAACCTGAAAACTGCAAACAAACCCCAATTTTTGTGGAGATGCACCTAAGCCCAACGGGACATGCCTATAGGTGAAAGGATCACACTGTAAAATCAGAGTTCTAGGTGTTAGTTTTTGATAATATGCCCTTAAGGTCTAAGGTCTGTTGAATTTCCTGTTCTCGATAAAGTTGAGAACCTTTATTGGATTCTATACAGTGCCCAGAAAATACTAGAGCGTAGAACCAGAAGCTCTATGCCAAGAGCTACACAAGCTAAGTTTAAGGACATCCCTAGTAAATCCTTAGGTTGAAGTGCTCTATCTAAGGAAGCCACCTTTAACCACTTCTCTCTTGCAGCTCCAGAATGCTAACCAGTTCCTGACTGTTTCTTTTCCTTGATGACTTTCCACTTCCTAAAGCAAAGGTTTTGATCATTTTAATACTTGGAACATTTCCCTATGAATCTAACAGGAACCTTCAAACCCAGACCAAAATCTATCCTTAGCATGTGGTGCTCACCCTTAGTATCTTATGCTTTTTCATCCTCTTCCAGTTCTCCTTTTTTTCCCCACCCAAAATGTAAGCATGGCCAAAAAAAAAAAGTCACTAGATCTTTCGCAGTTTTGCAGTCTTCTGGAGAGAAAATCCCTATCCCCTGAGATGAATTAATACAGTTTGTTGTGAATTCTAACCATACACAGATCATGCAGGTGTATGCAAAATAGTAACAATAACAGACATCCACAATTAAGGAGACAAATGAGAAATTACTGCCAGATCAAAATTTGCAAGTAGATGTGAGATTACTAAAATATAGTGTTAAATATGATTTTTACTAAAAATAATTACACTGTTAACTAACTGGAATTTCAAAACAAGCAAAAACTTTTTTTTTAATCCCTCTGCCCAGGGCTGCCCCGGCGTCAGGGAGCAGCCGCTCGCGGTGCTGCTCCGCGCCGGGGCCCGCCGGGGCCGGGGCCCGGGGCTCCCCGCAGGCGCCGCAGTCGGCGCTCACCAGGTTGTGACACGACAGCGATTTGGCGCCAGCTGCTTGGGGGCGGCTTTCATGGGATATCCTGTAGATTCCGTAACCTTGCTGGAAAGACAGGCTGAACTCAAAGCCTCGCCGTTTGGCTAGACAGAAAGGAGACAAAAGAGACAAAAACAAGCAGAAAAATTAGATTACACATAAAATGGAAATTACATTCTAAGGTACAAAGTAATTTATTTTGTTACTGTTACCAGAGGGTAATTTCCTATCCATAAAAGTATAAATTGTTGAGAAGAAAGATTTCTTAATTAGCAAGTTATGGTGTTGCTTTCCTAATGAATTCAGAAATGATACATTCCAAAGTTCATGGGTTCCCAGAAACTGGTAGATTCATCTGCCATTTTCAAAAACACATTGGTTATGATGCTAATCAGGTTCACACAAGAAGAAAATAGTTAAATTATGGCTCATTTTGTGATATCATTTTTTTCAATTCTATTTCAACTATATACCTAAAGTAGAAAAATTGTACAAAGTGATAAAATGTATTTCTGAGAATCGATAACTATCCTTCAATGTGAACAGTGAGGTAAGAACAAAGTTCTACAACAAAAGATAAACAATAGCTGAAACTTCTGTGTGTTCTTCATTCTAAATTCAGCTTCAGCTAATTAGTCTTACACAGTAACTGAACAATTAAATTTCTCAAATACCATTTAAATGCCTTCATATTTCCTTGTTTCTAATACAAATCACCTTAGATTCTTCACATTCATGTCAACTTTACATCCTGCTTTATGTAGTAACCAAAGGAGTGTCTTACTCAACTCATGAAATCATCTTCCTCCTAAATCTATCATGCTACATTATAAGAAAAAGTTGTATAAATACATTTATAGGACATGTAACCCTGTTACGCAGTAGACAATGTGTTGACAAGATCGTACTTAATTATGAGAGATCTTCCGCCTTTAATAGTCTTTGTGTTAAAACTTGAGAATGTTAAAGCCTGAGAAAACTTGAGACCTTTAGAATAAAATACTGAAAAACAGATTTATTTTAAATTATGTTATAATTGTTGCTTTTCCATCTGTTTTACGTTCTGTCTCTAAATATTGTACTAGATGCATCAGGAACAGGCTATCTCCCTGATGAACTTCAGTCAGGCTCGCCAGCAAAGTGGTGAGAGGGTCATGAGCAGAAGTCATTCCGCGTTCGGAGACGCACCCAAAGGCAGTGCCAGCCACGCATGCGAATGGCTTTTCCTGAAGATCTGGGCACTTGCTTTCTCCTTCATACACTGCAGTGGATGTCAGGCATTTAGCCACATAAGTCAGTGGACATCCACTGCAGAAAAAAGGGACCAACGGTCAGATCCTCAGGAGCATTTATGTCTCATTTCCCTAAATATAACTTGCCCACACATTCAGTTCAACTTGGATCAGGCCTGAAGGGAGAGTTTTATCAAACCCTACAACAGCAGCTCACACTGCCTCAAGTCTAATGCAGTAATTTATCATCGCTATGCATGAAAACATTATAAATATTAAATAATAGAAAATGTTTTCTGTAATGTATTTTTGACAGCAATTATGCAAGGAATTCTTCTGTTGCTTTTGATTTCTTAGTGATCTTTTCACTAGAACATATTTATTACATGTTAACAGACATCTAGCAAGTGTAGATGTGTTTAATAACCTCTTGCAGATTTTTATTCTTTAAACTTTTCATAATTACCTGTTGAGCAGCTTTTTTTTTAAGTTTATAAATCTTGTGGTTGTCCCAGAAAACCAATGCATACATACATATACACTTGTATGCCATTAATGTAAGTGAATTATTAACAAAGAGCCTGAATTTATATTAGTATGTACATTAAGCTTTCTTAAAATATTTTAATAACTGCTTCACAAAGGAAAAAACACTGTGTAAGTCTTGTTTTCACTGTTAACTCAAAATGTGTAATAGGACTATGCAGATTATGAGAACATTTGAGCTCAAGATATTTCATAAGTAACTGACCAAGAACTTTAAGGAAAGCATTATGCAGTATTTTAGCCACAAATCTGATGCTATTATTAATGTTTTCAGAAACTTATATGTGTGTTTCTTCTGTAGAGGTAAGTTTACAGAGTGACAGCTGTATTTCTTTGCCTTCTCTTTCTCTGATTGAACATTACCACATGATCCAGAAGTTTTTAATAAAACAACAAAGGTGATATATCTGCATCCAACATGCTGGGGTGCAGAGGGCATATGCAGCAAGTCCTTTGGCTGGTTTTACATGGGTTTTTCTGGGCCAGAAAAGCTAGTTTCAGAGCTTTAAAATATTTCCAAAGGGCTATTAATAAAAGCCTGGCATCCTCTATTTTACACATATACCAGGTAAATGTTATACACATGCAGGAAAATCTTTTTAGGATAAGTGTGTAGCAGGTCCTCAGCTTTCAACAGGTTACATGAATGCACTGAGTCATATGCACCCGCTCCCCGCCTAATCACGACCTTTGGTGTTTGCCTATTGGTATCACTGTAACTTCTGTCCTGCATCTATAGGACAGGTGTACAAACAATAGATCCTCTCCTCCTTTTAATTCAGGAGCACAAAGTTGCTCACAATTAACCTTTTCTTGTTTTCCTCACCAGCATTGAGTGTACTTAGTATGGTCTGTGTATCTGCTTAGCACTTTCTGTCAGACTTTGGTGGATATCTCTTTCCCGGGGTAGGACAGGAGAGAGAAAGTAGGATTCAGAGTTCATTTGTTCTGCTAGAAGATCTGCCAGTGAGTCGGGAAAACCAGGCAAGCAAAGCAGTGTTAACGACGCCGAGTTCCCATCCTCTTTGCTCCCAGCCGCAGCCCAGCCGCGGGCCTGCCTCCCACACTCACTCTTGAGCTCCTCCGAAGACACAGCGTACACGTTCCTCCTGCAGTTGATGATGCAGCCGCAGGGCAGGTGGATCCAGTGCTCCGACAGGACAAACACCGGCGTCACCGTGGCAGCCAGCAGAGTCAGCAGAAAGCTAAGGGTCTCGAACGAGAGGTTTCGAAAACCGACGATGTGCTGGACAACCATCTGTATCTGAAAGGCAGAACATTCAGAAATATAAATTGCTTCAAGCGTCTGATATATCGCCAGGGAGAGGCAAAATATCTCACCTGAATGATCTGACACAAGTAAAAGCCACAGGTTGTCACCCATGATCATATGTTGAGCCAAATAATTGCATGTCTAAAACAGACACACAAACCGAAAGACCCTGGCAAACTTTCTCCAGCTCATTCTGCATTTCTTAGAAGACCTCTTGCTTCAAGTTAAATGGTAAATACAGATGCCTGGAAACTACTGAAGAAGCAACTCAGAATGCAAGGCACTTAAAAGGGACTGCCAAATTGCTGGAGAACCCCCAGCTCCACACGGGGAGCAGGGACCGCAGGACCGCGCAGAGCGGTGCGGCCGCTGCTCCGTAAGGGTCTCGTCCAGCTGAGAAGGGCCAAGACGCTGCGCCTGCAGCATCCAGGGGACAACCCTGAGCAAGAACCATGCTCATAGTGTGAACAGACTCGTTCCTAATGACATGAGGATGTATCTGTTCACAAGGCTCCTAGTTCATGCACATGCCCAACTCCTCAAAACACTATGGAGATTTTACAAAAGATACAAAAAAACCTTATTTTTCAAACAACTCCTATTCCTTAAGCAGTCAGTGAGTCAGCGCTGCGAGGCGGGGCAGGACAGCTTGCTCAGTAGGACTCACAGCGCTCACAGCGCCGCTCAGACGCTTCTCAGAGAGCTGCAAACGCAAAGGACGGACCCCAGGCACCCTTGTATTCAGGTGATACAAACGGGGGGAAGGCAGAGCAGCACACTGATGAATCAGGCTCTGGCAAACCTGCTGAAAGCCAGTTAAATTCATGTAGTGTGACACAGATCTGCTCAGAAGGACTTCTTCTGGCACAGGCTATTCTATAAGGAATAACCGGTCTGCCTACTGTTCACCCGTTTCAATTCACATCACATGAACTCATGCTCCACTTAACCCCACGTAACCTACGGAGGAAAGCACTGTGACAAGTTACCATCATGGGAAGCCAGAGAACGGCCTTTGTCAAGGCGAGGATGAGCGAGAAGCGCTTCTGGGCGAAGGCCACGGCGCCGCTCCTGCTCAGCGCGCTGCCCCCGCAGCGCCCCGCCACGCCTGGCCGCCCGGGCGCCTCCTCCTGCTCCAAGTGCTTCAGGGTTTTATCCACAGGGTCCTCCGGCGACAGCGACGGGGTAGCGGCACTGCAGCCTGTCGCGGGGCTGACGTAGCCTCCGGAGATTTCCTGGTAATCAATGTACAATTGCTGCTGCTCGTCTGAGCACAACAGCTGGTAAGTTAGAGGGACCGAAAGCACCGTGAGGAGGCAAAAGCACAGTGAGTAGACAGCAAATAAAAACAGGACGTAGGAGCTGGCACAGTCAAGGAAGCAGCCCCAGGAGGTGGGGAGGTAGCTGCCCCAGCCACAGAGAGGCAGGATGCAGATGAGCAGGCTGACGAGCCAGGCGGTGAGAATGGCCCATGTCATGCTCACTGGCCGCCTGGAAGTGCTGCGGCTCATCGTCACACTTCTGTTGACGGCGTAGAAGTTGTAAGAAACTATAAGAGACACCTTCAGATTGCTAGAAATACCCTGGAATAAATAGATAAGCGCCGAGGCAGTGCACAGAGGCTGGGGGAGCACATCATTTGACCACTGGGCGAGCATGAAGATAATCACTGGCACGATGCTGATCAAATCATCTATTGACAGCGAGGCCACGATCATTGCCACCGTGCTTTTTTTCTGCATTTTCAGCAGGAAAACCAGGCAGCAAATGCTGCCCAGCAGTGCTGCGAACGTGATGATGAAAGTCAAGCAGAACAGAAGGACATTCAAAGTTCTCTGCTCACTAGGCTTATCCATAATGCTGTGATTTTCAGTGAAGAAGCCTGTCCCATTGAGAGATAAATTACCAGGCACTACCGACATCGTCCTTGCCAGGATTTCTGCTTGCTGCCTCACTGACTCTGCAAGTTTTCACTAGCAGAAATTTTAACAGCTAGCTCCACATCACAAGTTTCTTTGTTTTCCTAAACTCTCTTTTGTGGCACTTGATGAGGAAACATTCAATATAAGCATCCTTGATAACCACAATAACTCATGCTCTCCAAAGATCAGGCAAGAATCAAATGCTGAAAAAAATGCAGTTCTTCATTTAAAAGACACCCAGGTTTGACGTAGTCCTTTGTAATCCTTTCAGCACCAGAAGATGGTTAATTTAGGCTCCTCAGGTAATAACATGCCATTCACTTTGAACGGAGAGCAGGCAGCGCGCTGTACTCACGAGTTCAGCTGAACTGAAGGTAGAATTTCAGGTGTGTCCAGGCTCAGGAGCAGGAGAGGCTGCTGGACTCCCCCCGCGCCGCGCCGAGCTGCAGGAGGGAGGAGTCCGGCGCGGGCAGGATAGCGGAGACCAGGGCAGTGAGGATCTTCTCGGAGGGAGCTGGCTCTGAAGGCTGAAACCGTGTCCCTGCTAAGCCACACCTCCGATGCTGACACTGAAATCCAATGCAAATACTCAGATCTGATGTCAGCCGTAAGTGTCGTTCCCGTAAAGCCCACGGCTGCTCCGGGCTGTGCATCACAAGCGGGAGCTGCTTTTGTTCCCTGCATTTCTGCGCTCCGAGCTTGGCAAGGGCAGGAGCCGCAGGGTGCCCACGGAGCCGGCGCAGGGCGCGTCGGCGCAGCCCTCCTGTATCCCGAGCCCTGCCGCGAGCGAGCGCAGGACACGGCCTGCAGGCTGCTGAATGACCGCGTCTCTGCGACCATGCTTACAGCCATGCACATTAACAAGGTTCACAGCTCAGCTCAGCTCGGGGCTCACACAACTTCCACTCCCCACCATTCAAACCCAAGCAGCACCGAGTGCTTGCTGCCTGCTCTAACCAAACGCACTGAAATCAGCCTGGCCAAGTACATTTTGGTACGTAACAATGTTTTCTCTTCACATAAGACAATGCTAATCAAACTGCTAAACACACAAAATGGGCAACGTGGGCAGGTCAGGTCAATGCTGTCTTCTTGGAGAGCTCTGCATCTCCGTCCTGCTCAGCACTGGTATTCACCTACGTTACACTAACATCCTCCAACCAACAGCTGCACAGCTGTGATGTCTTCCCATTTTCAGGCCAGGGTTTGGTTAGAGGCAGATTCTCTGAGGTGATTCTCAGCTCCAAACAGAGCAAGAGCAGGAGGGAAGGCACAGCTGCAGCTGCATCCTGTGGCAAGAGCCCTCAATACGAAGATCTGAGCCAAGGAGGGGAGAAATCACTTTACAGCAATGCTCATGCACCCAAAGAAGCTCTCCTCCATTCCCCGTCCTCAAGCTGCTCTGCCATGGCAGAAGGCCTATGTCCCAAAGCAGGCCAGGCCGTGTACCAACCGCATGTGCCACATAACAGCCACACGAGCAGAGATGAGGATGCTGTCCCTGCTTCTCCCGTTCACCCTGCAGCTGCCTTCGTTCTGACGCCTCCACACTATTCACCACAAGACCATCAAGCTGAGTGTCAGAGAGGAGAGCAGCATCCACCCTGTTCTGCACCGCAAGCACGGCCTGGACCATCTATCTGGCCTTCCACTGTACAGGATTTCACTTGGCTTTTGTGATATATCTGTCCTACTCGAGTATTGATTGTTAATCTGTGCTGTGCCAGCTAAAGGCCGGGGCTCATTTCCTTCTGTTTACAAACCACAGTAACCTCTGCCCCTGTAAGGCAACCTGAAATAACTGACAGTTCTGCATCTGCAGACGAACCTGGAGCCTGGTCCGAGGCACGGCCAGGGGACAGGAAGGGAAAGCAGCCCCACGCACCCTTGTGCGGCCCCTTGGGCTGGTTTCCTCAGGAGATGTGTGCCCATGACGTCCCACGATAGCGTGAACACGCGTGAAACTCCCCACTTCTCTCTCCCACTCCCAGTCCTTCAAGGACCCTGATGAAACAACCATTTGCAGCTAAATCTGACACTGCCAAAGCTATTAAGTTCCCACAAGTTTTTTTTGAAGATAAGCAGCTGATCAGAGGAGACAGTCGCAACAGGCTCCCCAACCAGGAGGATGGCTGCAGCCCGAGCAACACACAGCCAAGGGACACGCTAAAGGTCTTAGCGGTGATGGTTTCCTCCCCTATTTATCTTTTTTTATAATGATTGATAAATTCTGATAAAATAAAAGAAGTACAAGGGATCCTGTGACAGAAAGCTGGTTTCCAGCAGAGCGGTGCCCCCGAGCCACTGGCTTGCACGTCCACCAAGGGCTGCGCTCTGAAACTTTCCTTGTGGCTGGGGCAAATAAATCGTAATGAGATTTTCTGCTCTCCTTCCAAGGATGAACTTAAAGCAGAGTCTTTCAAAATTTACAAAACATTGTCTTTGCACCCATGATTCCTCCCTCAAACCTCACTGAAATTTGCAGTCTGCTGTGAGGGCACAGACTCACCTCGGGCTGGGCATGAGGGCGGGAAGGCAAGCAGGGATGTAGACAGAGGCATCACAAGATGAAGTTTCTCAAGAAACAGGGATAAAGTAGAATAATACAGCACTGAGAAAAAAGCCACAGTTAATGATCTTGCAGAAACAAAGTGAAAGAACAAGACACCTTTCCCTGGCGCTATGTCCTTGGTTTGGATCATGTCCAGGAAGGCTGGAGATGTAGGCCAGGGTCCTTACTGCTTATTTCCTTTTTTCTTTGCATTTAACTTCCCACATTATTGGAGTTGCTGATACAAGTGCTGTCCTCTTCCATACAGAAATATATTCCTTTTCATGGTGTGAATTCATTGTGCTAAAGAATGATCACAGAGAGAACTCTCCTCCCTGGCCTCATTTCAAACAGCACTGCACAACACCGTCTCCTCAAACCAGGAGCCAGCAGCACTCAACACCCTCTGAGCAGATTTGCAAGAGACACCCTGCATGGAGTGATGCTTGTGAAGGGAATCAAATATTAATCGTTCATAAAATACAATCAACAAATAGGTTATTAAAAATTTATCCTGTTTAGTGTGAGTCACATTTTATTTTCCTGTCTTGCAACAAGCTAAGCTTTGACTTACGATTTTTCTTCCTTTTGTCACTCAAGATTGACAAGGTTATTACAGCAGCTGTTATGACTCGTTCATTTCAGAAGGTGTCTGTGTTGGGTACAAAGGTATACGTAAAAAGTTCACAAATGTTTGTGTACACGCTTGTTTTCCAATAGCATGCAAAAGAAAATGTTTTGTTTCTTCTAGATTTTAACGCACTTTAAAAAATATGTCCAACTAACTGACCATTTTTGGTCTACTGGATTGAGCTACACAATGATAGAACTGCAGCTAATTATTCCATCTAACTATTTGTCCCAGAAGAATTAAATCAAGGATGGCTTCTAGTAAGAGACAGATACTATTATATTTACTCTATTTCCGCTGCACTTGTATTGCTGTGCTGTAGAAAAATGGTGCTTACCTATTTGGAGCAATTAGAGCAGCGTCAATCAGGAGTAATTCTACTAAACCTAAAAACATGATTCTAACTTATATGTTCATTATTGGCTAAACGGAAACAGCTTTAACTTGAGCGAAGCAGAAACTTGCTCGGCAGATGCCCCTTTTGGAGTCAATGGATTATGGCTATTCTCAGTTTTCTGTCCCAATCTGGCCTTCAGGGAGCCACATTCCATAAGGAGATGTGTTACCATTTAATAACACCCATTTTAAGATCTCAGTAACTTTTTTTACTTCTGTACTGTGAACAGTAGATGGAGACTCCAATGAATTCTCCCTTCTGGAGAGAATGACAGAAGGGCTAAGAGCTGCGCGGAGCCGTGCGGGATCCCCAGCTGCCCCAGGCAGGCCATGGCTACGACGCACCCATCTACCCCGCACTTCCCAGCTCCAGAAACATGTGAGTGCAGGACGAACATTCGGCGAGGCTGGGGCTGAAGAAGGTGGCTGAGCCACGAGAACGGGTGCACGCAGGTTCCGCTGCCTGCAACGGCCCGCGATCATACGGGCCGTTCCTTGGGAAACGCTTCGTTCTGCTGCACAGCTCTCCAGGCAATGCAGCACTCCTAATCCGCCTCTATTTGTCTGACTGTACCACACCGGAGCACAAATCCATCCACTGCAATACTGTGGTCTATAATCACCCCTAATTTAGACACTGTGGAAGGCATTTACTGGGGAAAATGCACCCGAGGTGCCCTGTGGCAGGGGCTGGGCAGCAGCCAGAGCCGCTGCTGGGGAGAGCAGCGCCGACGGAGTCCAGCAGGAAGGCAAAGAGCTGAAGAAACCCCCATCTCTTGCGAGGGGGAGGAAGAGAGGGAGGAAGGCATCTGCCTGGGAGCGACCTCGCTGTGACCCTGTCCGGAGCAGCAGGAACATCAGCTCTCTGTGTACACCTTTCTCCAACTGTAATAAAATTAATGACCACGAGAGCCATTTGTAGCACGATTTGCACATTTCCCTGCCCCCTGAGTGGTCTGGGCTGCCTTAGCTCCTCATTTCTGTCCCTTTGTTCGTTCCTCATCACTCCCGCTAACTTTCAGGGCAGGCTGAATCTGGAGACCAGGAGCTGCAGTCACCGCAGGGAAGTCGCAGTAAAGACCCCCTGCGAAGACGGGAGCTTTGGAACCTAATTCTGCCCACAGAGGGCTAAGAGGTTCTATTTGCTGTAACAGCTGCTTTTTCCTACCCTCACAAAACCACCCTCTTTCTAGCCAGGACCTGTCCTTGAAGAGGCACTAGTATTGACAAAATATTTTACAGGGAAGCCATTTTTTTTTCTTCCTGCAACTTCATCCTCAAATCACAGATATACAGTCTATCATAAATGACTCCCCAAAGAACAGGGGAGCAGCACAGGGCAAAGCTGACCGCCTGGGACCTCAGAGCAAGATCTTCAAGAGCCAGGGAACCCTGTGTGTTCTGGAGAGCCCCGGAGCGGCCCCGGGGGCTGTGCTCCGCAGAGCTCCCCGCTGCGCAGCCGAGCGCACAAAGCCCAGGCTGCTCCCGAGCTCCACACACCTCCGACTCTGAGAATTACTTGGAAACAGTAATAATG